CTTTGTCACTCTTGAGTTCAAACCTCTACATAAGGAAAGGAAGGAGACAGAGAAAGTATGAGGGAAAGCATGCAACAGAGAATGAAGGAGCAATCAAGGTATAGAATGGGTTCAGTATACTAAAAACTGTATAAAAAGAGGAAATAAACACAGAAGCACACTCAAATTGCTTGCTACACACACACTGTCCCCAGAATGATATACAAATTAATAACAAGTAAACTCCAGAAATAGAAACAGATAGTTGGAACGCAAGAGTGACAAAGCTTTCCAAAGCACATACTTTACCATCTTTTGAACTGTCAATCAAGTGACTTTATCATGTATGCAAACAAATGAAATTAAATGCCATTGAGAATACAGTATGTTAGTTTTTACACTATACAAAACTGTACTATCATAAAATATAAATCAACTAATCAGAATATTAGAAACTATATTCTGTAATGATTTCATAAATACCTATTTCATGCTATCATATAACTCCTATAAAATCGATTTTATAAAATCCTTTAATATGAAAACTAGTATGTTAAAAAATCATAGACAGGTATATGGGAAACTCAATCATCAACTTTTAAAAAATATTACATTTAACACTTTTAATTTTAGGATTTTTAAGTAAAATATGAATTCAAATCAGACATCTTAAATTTGTTTTAGTGGAATAACCTTTGGCATCTTAGAACTTTGGTAGAATTAAAAAAAAAAAAAACAGTCGGCTTTTAATGGGTCTGACACAGTATAGTAAAGATTCGGGGGTAATTATTATTTTAAAACCAAGAAGAATATTTTGGTTCCATTGTTTGCTATTTGCTTTGCCAACAGGGAGGCTATTATACACAAATCAGTAGAAGATATGGAAGAATACAACAGAACTTTCTTAAGTATTTCAAAATGAATCTGGTCACAAATTTATCACAGATTAATTAGAATAAAATGCAAATTATTATACTTTTATCTAATTCATAATGAGTGTCACCAACAAAACAGAGCAAGCAACACAACAATGCTACAATTATTTCAGAGAAAAATTGATTAAAGACACGCTAGGACTAGAAAAAAAAAATTGCAAGGGCCGTAGAGATGTTTCAGCAGTTAAGAGCACCGGCTGTTCTTACAGAGGACCTGGGTTCAACTGCCAGGATCCACATGGTGGCTAACAACCACCTGTAACTGCAGTTCCAGGGGATCCAACATCCTCTTCTGACCTCCTCAAGCACTGTACAACACAGGTGCACTTACATACATGCAAGCAATATACTCCTATACATTAAATGATAAAAAATATTTAAAAAAAAAATTGCAGGGCTGGAGAGATGGCTCAGTGGTTAAGAACACTGACTGTTCTTGCAGAAGACCAGGGTTCAAATCCTAGCACCCATGGTGGCTAACAACCATCCATAATTCAAGTTCCAGGGGATGAGACGCCCTCTTCTGTCCTCCTTGGGCACTGCACAACGCAGGTGTACTTACACACATGCAGGCATAACACTCATACACATAAAATAAAAATAAAAGTAAATAAAGTTTT